GGATCCCAGATTGCTTCTTTGTACAAGGTGGGTCTCTGTTTTCCTCGGAACAGCTGTTTCTTCATCAGCTCACACTCACTCTATCTATCTACCTATCTATCTATCTTTCTGTGTGTATTTCTCCACCTTTACTTGGTGTCACCTCACTTGGTCTCGCACACTTACTCTCAGGACTTGGTAAGAGGTGAGGTCAATGAAGACAGGAGGGCCGGCCGTGGAGTGAGGGCAAGAAAAGTACAGAGTGTAGAAGCATAGAAGACCATCAAGGCTCAAAGTTCTTCTCAAACAGATTCTGTAAGTGGAGTTTTTTTGGTGTTTGGCTCTTTTCTGAGTTTTTCCTCCATCCTGAAGTTGTTGTAGCCTGTGTCTTTTCTTTTCTTCTGTATTTACAATGACTCTTCTGTTTGGGCTTTTATTCCTTCAAAACGGATGAAGAACAGTATGCTTTATCTCAATCCTTGTGGTAGAAGCAAGCATACGTGGTCTTTTGTGTCTTAATTTTAAAAAATAATTTTCATGGCTCGTGACTGTAAAAAAAGAGGAATCACTACAGTAGAAACAACAAGTAATAAAAATTGTTAGAGAGAACCAGTCTTGGTTTTAGTTATTCTGGGTCATTTTTGAGGTTTCAAAGGAGAAATAGGCATACAAAGCAGTGATGCATGGTGGTCCTGGGCTATCACATGCACAATATATATTATGTGAACATATAGCTATAATTATTTAGTAACATATAACAATAAACACAAACATGCAAAAATAACTTCAATGTAAATCCTTTACTGGTATGTTTCAATCACCGTGAAGGAGAAACATGATTCCCAGCAGTCCTGCCTCTTTTCAATTACCTTTTGCCCCTCTCTCCACTACTCCATCATTTCCTGAAGATTCTCTGGCACTTTCTCCTTGATTTCTTACCTTACCCCATATGAGCTCCTCAAATATATGGAGCCTAGGACTTGCTCCTTATGTAAATATTATGTAAAGTAATTGTGTCCTCTCCTTCACTGTTGGTGGGAATGCTGACTGGTTCAGCCCTTTTGGAAAACAGTATGGACGATTCTCAAAAAATTAGAAATTGAGCTCCCATTTGACCCAGCAATATCACTCCTGGGAATATATTCCAGAGAGGTAAAAATGCATAGTCGAAGTGACATCTGCACTTGTTTGTTCGTTGCAGCACTGTTTACAATAGCCAGAATCTGGAAAAAACCTGAGTGCCCGAGAACAGATGACTGGTTAAAGAAACTTTGGTACATCTACACAATGGAGTACTATGTAGCTGTTAGAAAAGATGAAGTCATGAGATTTACATACAAGTGGTACAACATGGAAAGTATCATGCTAAGTGAAATGAGTCAGAAAGAGAGGGATAGACATAGAAAGATTGCATTCATCTGGGGAACATAAAGTAACAAAATAGGAGATTAATACCCAAGAATAGCCGAGATCAGTACCAGGAGGATTACTCCATAGCTTAGAGGCCAGCCGGCCATTCTAGGGGAAAGGACAGCTCAGATAGAGAAGAGAGCACCAAACAAAGGGTATTTGGAGGATCCTCCCAGGAGGGGAGATGCATGTTGAAAGTAGACTATGGACTGAACATGATTGCCACTCAATGCCTCTTTTGCGGACAACAACACCCAAAAGGAGAGAGAGAACAAAAGGGAATGCCCTGCCACAGAGGCAGGGTGGGATGGGGGGATGGGTGTGGGAGGGATACTGGGATCTATGGTGGTGGAAAATGGGCACTGGTGGAGGTATGGGTATTTGATCATTGTATAATCGAAACCCAAGCACAAAAATTTGTAAATCTACAACTGTACCTCATGGTGTTTCACTAATAAATATATATAAAAAAGTAATTGTGTCCTTTCATCCTCTTGTTTGATTTAGATCTTGCGTGTTCCTACCCAATTTTTCACACCCACCCACATCTCCCAGTCCCCAAAACCATCTGAAAGCTCTAGGGTAACAGGAAACTCCTAAAAAGTTATTGGAGATTGAGAACCTATTTGATAAAGTCTGAGTTCTTGTTACCCTATTGGAACTGGAGAGAAAACAGAGAAACGCTTACTTGCTCATATATTTATGTATCCCAGACACTAGACTATCTGTCAGACCAAACAGCCTGATTAATCCTCTAGTTCTGATCTACCACGCCCACACCCCCTTAAAAGTGACTTAAAAAAAGAGGACTCAGATACTAACCCAATGCTTAGGCAGGTCTCATCATGAGAATTTACTGCAGAACTTAATAGCAGTGGTGGTTTTTAATCTACCATTCACCAGTTTATTTTATTTTATTTTTTTTGCTTTTTGGGTCACACCCGGCGATGCACAGAGGTTACTCCTGGTTCTGCACTCAGGAATTACCCTTGGTGGTGCTCAGGGGACCATATGGGATGCTTGGAATCGAACCCGGGTCGGCCGCGTGCAAGGCAAATGCCCTACCCGCTGTGCTATCACTCCAGTCCCTCATTCACCAGTTTTAAAACACGACTTTTAATGCAGGCCTATCAATTGGGAATCTGCTCTTTTCCAGCATTTTGGAATTCATCAGTGATAATATCAATCATGATGAGAATGGTTAAAACTTACTTTGACAGGCACATTCTATGTACCAGGTACCATGCAAACACTCGAGACAAATGATCTCATTTTGTTTATGGTTTAACAACTTAAGCGGCATGTGCTCACCAGGCCACAGTTTCCTGGGTCAGGAACCTGGAAGGAACTTCTGGGTTCTTGACTTTAGAATCCTTCTGATAAGGTGTTGCTTGGAATCAGGTACAACTATCTTAAAACTTAAATGGACAGAATTTTATTTCAAGTTCAAGTGGCCACTGGACAGATGCAGCTGCTCTCTGGCTTGTGGGCTAAGGGCCTCCGTTCTTTACTCACTGTTGGTCAGAAGCTGTCTTCAGTTCCACTCTTAGAGAGAGCAAGTCCTGAGGGCAGTTGCAAGCACTAGCAATAGAAAGTCATACTTACTGCTTTGTTAGCTCTATGGATATGCTATCCCACCGTTTTTGCTATTTTGTTTTGGTTAGCATAATCTCATTAAGACTCATCCTCATGCTCTGTCCAGTCCACATTCAAGAGGATACTGAAAGCAGGAATCACTGTGGGCATGGTGGGGTAGCTGGGTAACTTGTTATTTTAGAAATCTTCCAATCTCAAGACCCACTGAGAGAGTAGATTGTTTTAAGATTTTAAGAATAGTTGGAAAATCTACAGATGGAAGTAGTTCAGGGTAGGATTTGAAGTTAATTAAGGTAGAAGTTATAAAGTGGAAAGGGAAGTGACTTAAATTGTTTTTCATCCCATGCTTTTCTTTCCTTCTAGTCCATATTATGAAGGTAGAGTTGACAAGATGTTGGATGGATGATAAATCACTGCAAGAGACTCTAAGGCTCCGTATAAAGAACTACTATTTCCATTGGGAAGTGAATGGGGAATAATGGAGTATTATTCCCCATTAACATCCGAGGTGGATGCCTAGCAAATATATGAAGATAACCTTTCTCGACTAAAGTGATTCAGATTTCCCCCAAGCATTAAATGAAAGGGAAGAATTAGAGCACGAACAAGCTCTGGAATTGGAAATCTACAAAGACAGTCAACAACAAAAGAAACAAATTTCATATAGAAATAAAAGGTAAGTTTTGGAAGGTCTTTTGTTTTTTGACAATGAAAAGTTTATTTGTTTATTGGGGCTAGAGTCAGAAGTGCTCACTGATGACTCTTTGCTCAGGAATCACTCCTGGTGGTGTTCAGGGGACCATACAGATTGCCAGGTATGAACTTGAGTTGGTTGTATGTATGGCCAGGGGTCTTACCCACTATACTATCTCTCAGGCCCTGGACGACTAAGCAGTGTTTAGCTGCATCTACCCAAACAGATTTCATTCAGATTTCATTTAAGATGTGTTAATGAGTGGGTAGAGGAAGAGATTACAAGACTCTCCAGAGACTTTTGCATGCTAGTCTGTTCTGGAAAACCATAAGGTGTGTGCAGGAGGATGAGTATTGAAGGTCTTGCTTCTCACGAACATTTATTTGTTTGTGAAGTGCACACGAGGGAGGATGCCTTTTTTTTTTTTTTATCAAATATCTATAGTCTTTTTCGAGAACCAGAAGGGTGGTGTTTAGTTCAAATATTTCTAGCAAGCCAAGAATGGTGAGTGATGCAAAAATACACATATTTAACAAACACCTATATGTTAAATGGAAGTGATCCTGGGATCTCAACAGTTAGGCTCCAGCAAGAGGAAGTTTACAAGACCAGAATCAGAGCGAGTCACTAGATATTGATTTTTTACAACCATCACCAGAAATCTTCCCAGATCCCCAAGTTCAGCCTACTGACATCTTTCTTTCCATCAATGTCATCCCCTTTCTTCTTGATGGCCATCTTCTTGAAAACAGAAAAGAAATAAGGAATTCACCTTCAGCTTTTCTGTTGGGTTCCCCATTCCCTCAATATTTCAGCAGGAGGGCAATGCAGTTGGATGCATTAAAACAGGCAAAACTGAGATGTTAATTACCTTTAAAAATTGTCTTCTCAGTTCTGGGCAAGAAAGAATAAGGGCAAGACTTCCTGCTATGTCATGCACAAAGATAGTTTATCCAGATTCATCATTTTACTAGCAGAGTGAAGAATTGCTCCATTAAGAGGCAATGTCCTTTGAGAACTCTTCCTAAATAATCGGGGTCAGCTGAGGGTTTCACCCAGTTCAGAAGAACAAGACAGTCATGAGAAGTCACTGCCTCCCACAGCACACAGTGCTGTGTTTTTAGCTTAATCCTCCAAGGATATTAGAGTTGCATTCAATGGTTAATCAGTAGCTTCTAAGTGCCTGCTTCATTTAGTTGTCCAAAGGCCAGTTAATCCCAGAATGTATAAAGCTGCGAGCCGGCTAATTGAGAGCATTCTCTCCGTGCAAGGGAAGCAAGGGAGTGGCAGGGTCAGTGAGTGGGGTTCCAAAGGAGCAGGGATGCGGAACACGACTGGTCTAGTTTTCTGTGCCCTGGCCCCCCTGACAGGCTTTCTGATGATATGCCTGGGGGCCTACTTCATTTCCTCAGATTCAATATTCAGCTGTTGGGAGAACATGGTTCTCACCTATTTACTTCTGCCTCTGGGGTTTGTGATTCTTCTGAGTGGAATTTTCTGGAGCACCTATCGCCAGGTGAGAGAAAGCAAAGGAATGTTCATCCAGGACCTCGAACGACATTTTCATCAGGGGGCAGCCCTGCCCTTGGCCACAGTGGACAGGTATGTGCTGAGAAGCCAGAGGACTGAGGAGGGTTAGGATGGGACTGAATGGAAGAAAAGTGGAATGACTTCTAATTCTACTGTGGAAAGATTTCAGTTTCTTATGGACTGCTGATCTAGATTCGTGGCTTTCCTGTTGGGGAATTAGTCTGGCATTAGCCCTTTGGAAGAATGGTGTTTTCTTTAGGAGAAGCTTTAAGAGGGGTTTATCTCAGAGAGATAACCGCAATTTTGAACCCTGGCTATTCACAATAGCCCAATGATGGAAACAGCCTATTCAGCAGTAGATAAAATGTGGTATAAGCACACGGTGGAATATTATTTGGCCCCCAAAAGGAAGAAAATTCTGATGCATGATACAGCGTAGGCAAAGCTTTCAGACATTATGTTAAGTAAAATAAGACAGGCACAATAAATGACAAATACTAAGGTATTACATTATATAATATACCTATAGTTGTCAGACTCATAGAAAGAAAAAGTGTTTACTAGTAGTTAGGAAGAGGAGTCGTTGAGGAATACGTGCTTAACTCGTACAAAGTTTTAGTTTGAGATAATGAAAAACTTCTGGAAATAAATGATGTTGATGTTTGCACAACAAGTAAACATTTATATATGCATTATATATAATCATAATAAGAAAGGTCGTTAATCTTATGGTCAGTATAATATGGCCAGAGACCTTCTTGGATGAACACAGACTTTAGGGGTAAAACTCTCAGGCATTATCCTACAAGACTCTAAGATACATTTGTTTGGTCTCTTCACCTGCCTAAAATACTTTGACTATTCCATGTATCTTAAATAAAGCAATTTATCTCGATGGTTGATTTTGATAGTACTATGCTAATTAAGAAGTTACTAACATGTTTCCAATGTTTATTATATTAAACAAGGAGATCTCTGGGTTCGATTCAAAATTATGATAGATTGCAGAAGATCTTTTTGGATGATTATTTGAGGGGAAAAGGATATAGATTCGATATAGATATGATTACTTGTTCCTGAGTAGAATTAATGATCAGAGTAACTCGTTACCTTTAGAATGTGGCTCCAATTGACCAACTTGAGTATAATGTATATCAAGCTGAAATATTTAAAATTATGGGTAGCACAATATTTTTACTATTTCCTGCTGCATAGAGATACAGCCCACTCAGAATGGCTATGGAGTCAGCCAATGGTAACTTACATTTCTCTAAAAGGCCCTCCCGTTGATCGTCGATTTGCTCGAGCGGGCCCAGTAACGTCTCCATTGGAGACTTTGTTGTTACTGTGTCTGGCATATCGAATTCTCTCGGTAGCTTGCCGGGCTCTCCGAGAGGGGCGGAGGAATCGAACTCGGGTCGGCCATGTTGGCTGCGTGCAAGGCAGACGCCCTACCCGCTGTGCTATCGCTCCAGCCCTACATTTCTCAGAGGCACGTATATTCAAAATGAATCCCAGGTGAAGGTCTCAAAGCAAAAGAATTTGCCGTGGTGGAATGCCATCGTATTCAGGGGAGTGGCAATATGGAGTGGTATGGGGGGATTGGGAGAGGTGATGGAATTGGGGGGCAGGTGACTGCAATCCTGGAGTTGCTCAGATCACGTCCGGGAAGAGTTCACCTTCTCGTCTTGCATGTCTTTACCCATGTGCCATGCGAGGCAACTCTGACTCTTCCGAGTGAAGGCTGAGATGAATGCTGTACAGTAGGCAAGACAGCTCCTCCAGTTATTTTGGCTTTGTGCCTGGTGACATTTGGAATAGGGCTGTGGCTAGGAAAGGCAGTCTGGGTTCTGTTATGGTTACATACCACAAACAATCCCTAAAGGTCCTGGGAGGATTTGCTCTATAAATATACAACTGGACAAACTCACCCTCTCTCTTCCTCATCCCCACCCCACCCTCAATCCCATTCATGACAGAGAAGCCAGAAAGATTTAGCAATGAGCAACAGTGGGCCAGATTCTCCCTGGGCACAAGGCTCTGGGGTAAGGCTCCTTTAGCCACGGGCCTGTTGGTATCTAACTGGCTGCACCTGGAACGTACCTAAAGTCATCGGCTGAAATAGCTGGAGAAGCACGCACACGGGTATGCTCTTTTGGAAGCAGGCTGCAGTGATTTAAGAGTGGGCAAGAAAGAAGCATCTGGTGTCCTTCAGGAGTCGACGCGGAGCTTGTTTCCAATTCTTACCGTGTTGGCTTTGGGGTTCAGAGGCAGTGAGCACAATTATACTGCTTCTGTGTGAATGGGGACAAGGGTGAGCCTGCACTGAATAACTGGGTGGAGAAGTTCCACAGCTGAGGCCCCCATGGTGCTGAGCCCCGATAAGGCTCTCACACTTAACGTTCACCGGTTCCAATGAGTAAGAGAAGGCATGGCTTGGAATTTCCCTCTGGAAACAATGGGGCTTACAGAGACATACATTCCCTGGCTGATAAAACGGATTCTGCAGGAGGAGCAGGCGGCTAAAACACACACACACACACACACACACACACACACACACACACACACACCCCACACAGGAGAAAAACTGGGGATGCTAGGGATATAGTACATCTGTTTCGAAATCAGTGTTTCTTAACAGTTTAACTTCACACAGTGGCATCTGAGAGAGGCAGGCATATGTCTCCTTGGCATTAACCATTGGAATAACACATGTCTGTTTGTGGCATTTTGTCCCCCAGGCCAAACTTTTATCCTCCTGCTTATGAAGGAGGGGCTGAAAAGAAGCCTGGTTGGGCAGAGGGAGCGGCCACCGGGGTTCCTCCACCTCTCTACAGCGAGACGGACCTTGAACACCTTGAAAGCACCAATCTGGCCCCTGAGGCCCCACCATCCTATGAAGAGTCTGTAGTAGACCAGATGGCTGCGACCAGGCCAGGCCTGCAGTGCTGAGGCAGGAAACTCCAGCTCCCCATGGGTTCCAGCTGCGGGGAAACACAAGCAGGAGACACGGGGAGGAAAAGCAGTGACAGTCGCCCAGCATGAGAGCTCAGGGCCAGCACCATGCAGCGGGACAGCAATTCCACGGATGTCTGGGCCTGTCCGGGCCACTGCAGGCTCTGAACAAGGAAGTCAACACCAAGGAACTGTGCCAAAGGAGTGGCTCTCAGCACGATCACCTTTGCACAGCAAGAGTGGGGAGATTCCGGCATCCCTAGAGGCTTTCGCTCTCCTCCCTACCCCCCTCCCCAACCCTCCCAAGAATTTGTGTATGAGGCTTTCAAGATACACTTTCGTGCATCTTCAGACTTGGGGCCTTGATTTTAAAACCTGGCTTCCTCTCAATTACGCTTTCTTGTGTGTTTTTACAGAGGAGGTTAAGTCAGGAGACAGGGCGGTAGGAGGAGGTGCAGCCCAATGCTTTTCTGCTTGCACAAGAGCCTTCAACTTTCTGGGACTCAGTGTCCTACTCTGTGAAGTGAGGGATTTCTGTAGCAGCTCACCTCTAACAACCGAATGCCCTTTATGCGGCATGTTCTCTGTTATGAATTTTTTATACTTTGGGTTTTTTTTTAAACAGGGAGGGACCTTACCTGGTTACTCCCGAAAATGTGCTCCCAGAATCCTGCTTGACAAGCATGTGCATATCTGGTTGAAATAATTCTCCAGATCTGTGTTGCTTCTTTTGCCCTCATTCACTGCTTCAGAAAAGGCCAGTCTCATTTTACAGAAGCCTATGCTCTTATGTTACATTCATAAGTTATGGAATGTTCCCAGTAGCACACAGGAGCATGAGGAAGAGCCCATAAAGGCACGTTGGAAGAGGTATTTGCTTCAACCTTTGGTGCAAGGCTAGCTTTGTCTTTTCTTGCTCCTTCTAGAGGGAAGTATGAATTTCTCTGACCTATCAGAAAGTGGGTTCTAGCAAGAAATGAAACCCTAGCGTTCCAATATGGAAAACTTTGGAGAGGTAGCAGGCATTGCTTTAGGCCAGGGGAGATGTAACTCAGCAGAAGAGGACTTGCCTTGCCTGTGTGAGGCCCTGGATGTGTTTCTTGGCAATTGTCCCCCAAACCCCTTCTCCTCATACCCCCAGAAGCCACTTTAGACTTAATGGGCTTCTATTTTAAAATATAGTTAAGAGTTTCAGAGTAATAGTACAGCGGGTAAGATATTTGCATGCATGTGGTTGATTCTAGTTTGCACCCAGCCCCTGCCCCAAACTCCACTATGGTCCCCTGAGACGGCCAGAGATGATCCCTAGCACAGAGCCAGGAGTAAACCCCCCAAAACAATGTAGATGTAGATAAACTGAGCACATTTTTCATGTGGGAGCTTAGTCCTACCCCCTACGGTGCAGTTTCCTTCTCATCTATGTGTTACACATGAGTGAGGGATGGTTCCTAACAGTATCTGCCACCTTTGGTAAATGGATGCAGGAGGGACTTTGGAGAAGGGTGGGAAGGTTAAAGGTGTTTCTAGGAGTAAGAGGTATATGGAGATGGGATGGAGTCTTTGTAGTACCCTCTTTTTCCTGATTTCCAATCTATACTGAGTGTATAGACGGAGGACATCCCAACAAATGCACAGGACACTTCATAAAAGAAAATCCTTGCTCTGTCACACAGGGCATGAACTTGGGAATCAGTGACTTGAATTCTTGACACAGGAGACATAACTGGATGTGAAGGTCACTCATGCTTGCTCAGGAGGAAAGTAATCATTTATTAAAAGTGCAATTTCTTCTTCTTCTTTTGTCATCTCTTTGTGTGATCCCACTGAGACCATTATCCTGAAAATGTTCCCCCTGGACTCTGACCGCATCCACTGACCTGAATGAACAAGCATCAACACTGGGCTTTCATCCAAAGTTTGCATTTGTAATAGATGGCTTTTCCAACTACTAGTAGTCATGTAAAACAAATGTTAATTTCGGTTTACATAGGAAGGGTTTTAATCTCTTCTCTGCAATAAATTTTGTACTTAAACTTTCCCTTAGTTTTTAAATCATCTTTTTAAATTAAAAAAAAATCTGTAGTGAAACATAAGTCCAAGCTATAATATCCATATGTGCTATCATAGTTATCCGGATGAATTCATCCTTTCTTGCAAACCTAAACATTAATGAACACAAAGTATTGATTCAGAGAATAAGTCAGTTGCTTTTTGAAAGAAAAAATATTAAAAATAAACAAATCATGTGAACTCTGAAGAAGTATTAAGGACATTGATATTGTCCCAAGCAAATCCTACTTTTGAGAGGCCCAGGAAAAATCACAGGGCAAGTCTTTTTTTGGCTTTTTTTGGGTTACACACAGCAATGCACAGGGGTTACTCTTGGCTCACACACTGAGGTATTACTCCTGGAAGTGCTTGGGGGACCACATGGGATGCTGGGAATCGAACCTAGGTCGGCTGTGTGCAGGACAAACAGTCTACCTGCTGTGCTATCACTCCAGCACCCATGGGCAAGTCTTGTGTTAATAATAATTCATTGAACACTCCCAGTAAATTCACTCAGGGGAAGTGAGTGTTGTATCCATGCTTCTCCGTTATTTTTCATAAAATTAATGGTGATAAATTAGGAGGCCTAGATCCATGAATGTCAAAGAGGGTGCTCAAATTTTAAGAATGGGGAGAGAAGCAAACCTTCACTGCAATCTTTCCATTCTCTAAAATGTAAAGGGTTCTGATGGGGAGTATGCTGATATCTGGGAACCTTTATTTTTCTTCGGTCATACAGCCATCCACACATGACTTGATGGCCGGAAAATAATTAAAGTAACACAAAAGGAATAAAAATGTTAATTATGTGTGCATAGAAGTCTAGGCCTAGAATAACAAAACCTTTCATCTGGTAGTTCCAGTGAAGTTCTATCGTCTCTAGGAAAGTATCAGTAGATTTAGAAGGGCAAGACCAGAACAAAAAACACTGAAAATTAAATAAAAGGAGCTTAGCAAAGTTCATTCACCTAAGTTCCCAAACTAGTGCTAGCATCCTTCATCTAGGGTGACAAGGCTGTTTAAATCTCCTAGATTACTTCAAATACTTATTTTTCTGATTTTAGGGAGACATATCTTTAAGCAAAAAAAAAAAAAAAAACCACCCCCCTCCAATAAAACCCCACCTCAAGCCATTATTCAGCTCTTCTGTCTCTTGATTTCTTTCAATTCAAAGTATTAAGCCTGACACTAAGATCTAGCCTGGGGCAGCTTGTCTTTACTTTCAACCAGAGGCTCACAAGACAATAGGCAAAGGAACTGTGTCTTTAAGAGATAAGTATGACAAAGGTCAATTATGGAATGAATTGTATTGGATCTCTGCAAATCTGAGATGGAGTGTATGTGTTTTTCCACTTTTCACAGACTCATATTGAGGGTCCTATGTCCTTCAAGATTTTCCTTGAACCCATGGTCTTTGGTGAGGAAACTCTTCAGCTCACTTTTGTTGCAGGGCACCTACTGGCTGCTGAAATACACGCAAGATAACAAAGGCAAGAGTTCCTCATGGGGACTGGAGCAATTGCACAGCCATAGCGGGTAGGGCATTTGCCTTGCACATGGCCGACCTGGGTTCGATTCCCAGTATCCCATATGGTCCCTTGAGCACTGCCAGGAGTAATTCTTGAGTGCAGAGCCAGGAGTAACCCTGTGCATTGCCAGGTGTGACCCAAAAAGAAAAAAATAAAAGAGTTCTTCATCCATGTCCTCAATGTCTTCTATAACAGTCCACCTAGGTGGATTCAGATAATGAGTGAACTGTTCAATAGTCCGAGCCATTTTCGTGATAAGAGACTACAAATGTCTGGAGTGAAGCAAACTCTTTGCTAAGCTCTGCTACCTCAGATAATCTCTTCTGCTTGTAACAGTCAAAGGGTCAGCGGCTGATTTTCTGGCAGTGACACCATTTTTCTCTCTTTTTAAGAAACCAGGTTTAGCATTTGGCACTGCATTAAAAGCATATCAATTTCGAGATGTGCAGCATTGAACATGGACCAATGAAAATAAATGTGAAATGAACATGGAATACGCTCTCCATTGAGAGGTGACATCATCATCAAAAGTGCACAGTGTTTCCAAGCTTCCTCCTCTCCCTAGGGGAAATTCTTCAATGCAGGTGCATGAAATACCAGTGTCCATGTGCTTCAGGAACTCACCCCCTTCCCCCAGTGCCTGAGCCAGCAATAAGACACTTTGTGCCCACTTGTTCTTGCACATGCTTTTCCAATCTCCAACACCTGCTGTGGCTGGTGGCTAAAACCCCCAAAGTAAATCCCATGCTTTATGCTGGTCCACAGCCGGCTGGTCAGTAATTACCCACCATCATCCCTGTCATTGCCTGGATTGCCAATAGGGATAGTGGCTCAGCACAGCTGCGCTCGCCTCCATCTGAGACATACTATATTTGAAAAACCTTTGGGTCATGGTCTTGAGCCTACCCATAGCTGCCTACCCATTTTCAAGATCAGCAAAGAAACTCCAGAATCCTAAGTGAGGCAAAACAACTTTATGTTCTGAGGCACTGGCAGGATCCTCATTCCCTTCCTACTAAATCCTTCCCTGGCGCGCATGCGTGTATGTGCGCACACACACACACACACTCACACACACACTCACACTCAAATACACACACTTTCTTTCTCACACACATTCATTCTCTCATACACACACACACTCACATACACACACTTTCTCTCTCACACACATTCATTCTCTCATACACACACACACACACACACACACACACACACACACACTCTTCCAAATCCCCCTGAATGCAGGGGAGGTGGGTTGAATGCCTTAGATAAACTGTCACTTGTCTTTGCTCTGGAAATACCCAATCTAAGAGTGATCCGCATATCAACAGAAAACTAGCCCAGAGATGACTGTGTCCTGTGGCCTCACTAAACTTTTGGACATCTCTAGTCATTTCCTCTTAACCAAGGCTCAGGGCTGGAGCTTTCCCTTCAATACAGGAAGAATACAACACGCATTAGAGTGACCTTCTTGTCTCTTCTCTCTCCTGGGAATGAGGCAGGAGAACAAGCGTATGCAATTGGTGACGAGAAGCTCAAAATTTATGTCAAGCAGAAGTAATACCTTAGCAATATTCATTTGGCCTGTGCTGGACATTTTCCCATTATCTTCTGGAAGATACTGTACTTTAGGGACAATGCAGGACTTTGCAGCTTAACTGAGGAAACCTCTGCAAACAAGGGGTCTGCACAACTGTGTCTTTCCAGAGCTGGGACCAAGCGTTTGCTCTGCTTGATAATTACAAGCATGTGTCTGCTTCAGCCCCTTTCACCCAGTGGAGCTCCCAACAAGCCTCTCCAGCTCTTCTGACCCCCAACTCCTACTCCTTGATCTTGAAACATTCACTTCTGATGAAATTAGATAAATGGTGACAAGTTCCCCAAATCTCTATTGGGGGGGGTGAATTTTTCCAAGGCCTAGAGCTGAGGTTCCCAAGAATTTTTGGGGGGAGGGGGTTATTTTTTTTTTTTTTTTTTGGTTTGGGAGCCACACCTGACAATGCTCAGGAGTTATGCCTAGCTCTATACTCAGGAATTACTCCTATGTAACCTAGAGGACCATATTGGATACCAGGGATTGAACCCAGGCCGGCCACATGTCCCCAATCTGCTCTACCATTTATTTGTTATTTATTTATTTTCTCCCATTTCAAAGCCTCCTGGAAATGAAGCTCAATTAAGCATACAAAGCACCTTTTGTTTCCCCCAAGGCCATTACTACCAGTGTCCCTGTTCCTATTTCCTGAAGTGGTGGGTACACTTCTAGTACTCCTCAAGGTGGTATCATCCATTTGGGGGGAGCAATGGCCTAGAGCCGCTCTGACTCAGCATCTCTGTGTGTTCCCACTGGGCATGCTTGTGCCTCTACGGTAAAACTCATGTCCACCTGATGCTTTGTGGACATTTGTCATAGCCCCTTGACCCCAAATGACAAATGCACAAGAGCAGGAGAAATGTTTTAGACACCTCCTTGCCAACTCCAACACACGACCCTACACAGATCACTTATTGAACCTGGATGACTGACTGAATCAATATATGTATCTGAATATGAATAAGAACATGTCCAGACCCAGATGATTCTGTGTTGAAATAAGCAGAATTTTTAAATGAGGCTCGATTTACAGTCGAATTTCCAAAATCAGAGATTATGCAAATTTCAGCAACTTGAGAAAAATGTAAAACTTCCTCTATTCAGTCAAAGGACACAGTCAGTCGTGCTGAGTAACTCAGGGGTGAGTTGGCTGGCCAGTCTCCTCTCCCTGAAAGAGGAGAGGCTAGTTGTATCCCACTGCAGATAAACTCCACAACTAATTCTTTAGAATGGCAGCTGGAAGGCAACCTCCTGTTACTTTCATACTTCTGATGAAAGCCTGGATATACCTTTAAGTTTCTGTTGGTTCTCTACGGCCATTTGAGCAATCTGCCTCTTTCTGTCCTCTTTCTTAAATCAGTCCCCCAGCTTCTAGTAATGAAAGCCCGCCCTTGGAGGGATTCCAAAGAACTGATCGAAAATAGGTGTCAGTCGCTGGGGTGTCTCAAACGCCGAAACAAATAAAGAAGCCAGACTCCACAAGCCTTCTGGAGAGTGAAAGAAGGAATCTCTTTTTTATTGGCTATGCAAAAGTTCTAACACGTGTCTGGCAGAAGCAGAGAGAGAAAAGAGAAACAAATCTTTGACTGGACTGTTTCCCTGCTTACACTCAACTTGACTCCAGCACCCAGGCATTGCTTAAGACTCACAGTGCAGCACGTCATCTGCACAAAGCACACGCAAGTGAGAGTGCCGTTCCCAAGGAACCAAAACATGCAAACAGGGCCCAAGCACCCCGTGTCCCATGAGCCCACACCGAGGCTGTTAGAACTGCATATTCTTTTCCCGGGGCCAACGAAAGCCAGTTGTGAGACTCCACTTCCCAGAAGGAGTCCCTACCTTGCCCTCCCAGCCCAGCCCCCTGACTCTACCCCAGAAAGGGCTCCTCCCAACTTTGACTTCATGCCTTGATTTCCCCCCTGTGGCATTATCGCCTTTGCCAGCCCCTACAGGTAAGATCTGAACTGTGTTCAAACAAGTGCATTACTGGAGGTGCTTGGTGGGAGGTAGGAGAGCAGAGGGAGATCCCAGGGAGAGGGCAGACATGGTGACTTTTTTTTGGCCATCAACAACAATCTGTGGTGTCTAGGAAGGACCCAGATCAGGGAAAGGAAACATTCATTTGGGGTGTCCTGCCAATCCACTGCTTTCTACCGGAACAACGAGCGACTAAACCTATGGGAAGGCAGTCAGCTTAGTAGCTAAAATAACATTATTTACAGAAAAAAAGAGAGAAAACGTCATTTGATGTGTTTTACTGAGAGCATGCCTTTGTGATTTGTAGAAAGCGCTAGAAGATGTGAAGGGAGGGGGCACTGGGGTTTGGAAATAGGAACAGGGACACCGGCCCATCAAGGAGTGGGCGGGTGTGAAGTGGGCTATGAGGCATTCTAGAAAGTTCCCTCATGGAAAGTTTTAGCTTTTCCTCTTGGTCCTGGAGGAAAAGTGAAACCTCCCCCATGCTGAGGATTACCGGGGCCATCTGTGGCTTAGGGGCCACTAAATTTTGGCACCCCTCTTTTGTCAGAACCTCTTCTCACCTGGTAGCAATAATGCATAGATGCCCCAAAGCAGTGTCTTAGCCCACTTATTCCTTGTTACAGGGAAGGGGGTGCCTTTGTGTGAGGAAATGGAGCTATCAAATGATAGTGGAGCTTTAACAGACAACTGAAAACCCTTTTTGCACTGGAAGAAACGGACAAAAACCCAACCAAACCAATTATTTTTCTTTTCCCAACCACCCTCCATCCCCTACCAGTAATCTTTTATTTTATGTTTTTGTTTTTGTTTTCCCCAAAGGCATACGAGGCACAAACAGGTAGCAAGAAGGCTTGGTGAAGTGTGTCCTGCAGAACATTCTTTTGTTTCTGGTGATGATCTTCCCTCTGCTCAAGTGATGACTGTGGGACCCCTCCGGCCAGTTCTCTCGTGAATCTGGGATATTTTCAGTGCGATGGCTATGAGAGGGCTCAGCACAGTCTGGAAAAGAAGGGAGAAGTCTGTGAACAACCGAGTCAACCCGGAAGGCCATGTGATGAATTTCTAAGACAAGCATCTGGATTCGATTTCACTCTGAGACCTCCAGACAAAGTCCTGGAGGGTTCATCCTCCACACGGAGTCCAGAAGAGAATCTCCCTAGGCTGACTCTGTTCCATCAAGACAATGATCTAATACAGGAAGCTGCAGGACCCAACGATGAGAACATGGAAGCATTGGTGAACAGAGCCGTGTGAATTGTGGGCAGTCCTTGCTACTCACCCCCCTTCTCCACAGGTGCACTGCCCCATCTCCAAAAGTGCACATGGACTTGAGGGAAAATTCTCCTCTGGCCTGAGGAACCAACAAACTTGCTGCTTTGGCAAACATGGATTCACTGGCTAATGCTTCAGGACAGATCTATAATTTCTCTCCATCATGAGATGCCTTTCTTCCTACCAATGGTTCATGAGGCACCTTGTGTCTCCCAGAAGGAGGTGGTGGGCATTAGAAATGTAAAGAGGGGCTGGAGCAATAGCACAGCTGGCAGGACATTTGCCTTGTGTGCAGCCGACCCGGGTTCAATTCTCAGCATCCCATATGGTACCCTGAGCACCGCCAGGGGTTAATTCCTGAGTGCAGAGCCAGGAGTAACCTCTGTGCATCACCAGGTGTGACCCCAAAGAGCAAAAAAAAAAAACCCATAAGGAACACAGTCTTGGGCAAGTGAAGAACATGAAGAGGAAGAAGACCAGGTCTTTAACTCCTTCCCATTGCATAGGAGAGAGACTTAGTTTTCCAAAATCTGGGTTACAGAAATCCCTCATTATGATTTTTGATGGTCTAGAAGATTATTCTATTTAATTTTTTACAAAGCATTTTTATGGAGGGCTGGAGTGATAGCACAGCAGGTAGGGTGTTTGCCTTGCACGCAGCCAACATGGCTGACCCGAGTTCGATTCCTCCGCCCCTCTCGGAGAGCCCGGCAAGCTACCGAGAGTATCTCGCCCGCACAGCAGAACCTGGCAAGCTACCTGTGATGTATTTGATAGGCCAAACACAGATGACAAGTTTCATGATGGAGACGTTACTGGGCACGCTTGAGCAAATCGATGAGCAACAGGAGGACTGTGACCGTGACAGTGATTTTTATGGAGGTACTGGAATTTGCAATACTGTTAACCATACTTTCATGCATCCATCATTCCACCACCACGCCCATCATCAAGAGCCCGTTCCCCTCCACCAGTGTCACAAAGACCCCTCCCAAACCCTCTTCCTCTTGTAAACTCAGTTCTATAGACAAAATATTCAGTTCTGATCACTTTTGGCCATTTGCTGTTTCTCTTATTATGTTCTCTTTATTTTAATCCCACATATAGGAGATATTGCCCCCCCTTTTTGGTGGAGTTGGTGACACCTACACACAAAGAGATAAATAGGGTAATCTTCCTGATTATTTTAAGTGTGTGTAGACAGGGTGTTACTTGCAAACGAGTGAGAAAGTCATTTTGCTTTCCTTTCTTCTATTCTTTAATCCTTCTAATTTCATGTAGAAGAAATCCTATCTGTTGCCAATTAGAGCATTCTTTGGGCAAGAATTATTCTGACAGAAGAAACATCACTTACTAAATGGCTTTACTGAATCTATTTATTCTTGGAGGGAGCCATACCCAACAGTACACAGAGCTTAGTCCTGGCTCTTGCTTGGGTCTCTCTCCTGGCAGGGCTCAGGGGATTGTATGCGATGCTGGGGATTGAACCCAGGTTGGCCACATGCAAGGGAAGGAAGCACTCTCTCTGCTGTACTATCTCTCTGACTCTTACTAAATTTATTTTCATGGTGAGCTTGTATTTGTCAAGGGATACTGTTCTCCCACCCTCACCCCAAGGAGTGCAAGGATGAAAAATTACTTTAATAAATATATATTTTCAGGGTTGGGCAGATAGCACAGAAGGTAGAGCACTTGCCTCGTGCGACCTGAATTTGAACCCCAGCATCCCAGTTCCCCTGAGTACCTCTAGGAATAGTTCCTGAGTGCAGAGCCAGGAGTAACTCTTGAGAGTTGCTGGGTGTGACCATTCCCAATCCAAAAACAAACAAATAAAAAATATTTTTTTAAATTCCTCAGCACATTATATGTTAACCAGAGGCTGTCAGGAGTTATCTATGAGCACAGCTGATGTGTCCTCCCCCCTCCCCTGCAATCCATGCTTTCCCGCCAATAAATGTATTATCGTAAAGACAAAATGTGTCCATGAAAAGACAAATACTAACAAAAAGAATCTGTATGCTGAAAGTAGACTATAGACCAAACATGACTGCCACTCAGTGCCTCTCTGGCAAAACACAGGACCCAAAAGAAAAGAGATAGAACAAGGGGGAATGCCCTGCCACAGAGGCAGGGTGGGATGGGGGAACGGGGGGGTGGGAGGGATGCTGGGACCCATTGTGGTGGAGGATGGGTGCTGGTGGAGGGATGGGTACTCGATCATTGTATAACTGAAACCCAAGCACAAAAATTTGTAAGTCTATAACTGTACCTCATGGTGTTTCACTAATAAAAAAATATTGAATGTAATCAAAGTTTAAAAAAAAAGCACACTAGAGAGTCAAGCAACTATAGGGACTTAAGTATCTTCCATCCAAGGGCAATTGAGAGGATGGCCCTGCAAGTTCAAGATAATAAAAATCCTTTCATCAGGAAAAAAACGGAGCTGATAGAAAATAAGTTTGGATGTGATGGAGGTGGTGGGAGGGATGCTGGGAAAATTAGTGGGGGAGAACGGGCACTGGTGGAGGGATGGGTAAGCGATCATTGTGTGACTGTAATGCAAACACGAAAGTTCTTAAGTTTGTAACTGTACCCCACAGCGATTCACTAATAAAAAATTTTTAAAAAAGAAAATAAGTTTGGGAAATACTGGGACAAAGGAAGATAATCAGACTCCAGCTTTGGGAAACTCAACTGCATTTTCAGAAGAGAGAGGGGGACAGTGCTCTGTGTATGGCTCTCCTAGTACTGAGGGATACAGGGATGCTCGGATCACTTGCAGGTCAGGCAGACAAATGTGCAAGTAGATGCCCAAGAGAAGGCAGACATTGTTGGAATGGTCTAGCAACTTCCCCCCACCCCACGAGGAGATGTGTAACTCAAGCCACACATCTAAAATGCTCCACACACCTGCCAGCACCTCCAGCTGCGCCCAGAATGTCCTAGAGATATCTTTCTGTCACTCAACAGAGGATTTAGTCAATAAAAATATTGCATCATTACTTCCCACTCCTCAGTGCTTCTTGAAGTGCTTGTTACAATTTTTCTACACTCAGAGTAGGAAATAAGGAGGGGTTACCTTGGCAATGGACCCACTCCATGGCATTCACATAGCTGCTTCAGTCCTTCCTCCATGTTGGAAGGTTGGCTGGGTGTTGGTGTTACCAAACTAAAGTGGGAACCTGAGCATATTTGTCTTGGTCACCGAGGGATTTTTGGGCGCTGTCTTAAATTTTGCAATGGGCTAACCTCACTCTCATCCCAGCCCTGTGTTAGATGCTAACCTGTTCAATCCTACAGAAGCAGAGAGAGAGAGAGGATTTCTATTTCTACTTTCTTTCCTTTCTTCTTTCTCTATGTAGCTTCTGTGTGTCATGCACATTCATATAAAACTAGGTCATGAAAACAAAGCCCTGAAAAAACTGAACCTGACTAGCAACAGATAGGAGAGATGGTCTGAATGTCACAAGACTCAAAGTAAATAGTTAACTAATTTTTTTTGGAGAAAAACCTAACTAGAAACACAACTACTTACTAAGCAAGATTTTCAGAAATCATTGAGGGAACCCAGCGTGGGGCTGGTCCAGATGCATTGAGAATCAGGGAAGCATCATGTGTGATAATGAGTGAGACATATCTTAGTTCATGGTTTGTAGTAGAGAATACAACTCAGAGCCGTCGGGTCCCTTGACATAGAACACGATGGTATTCTGGGACCCATAAAAGAGAACTTTTTTTTTCCTTTTTGAATCACACCCAGCGATGCTCAGGGGTTACTCCTGGATCTGCACTCAGGAATTACTCCTGGCGGTTCTTGGGTGACCATATGGGATACCAGGGATTGAACCTGGGTCGGCCTCATGCAAGGCAAACGCCCTACCCGCTGTACCATTGCTCCGGCCCCAAAAGAGAACTTCTTAATAAGTTCCACGTAGCTGGTCCTCTAGGGAAATTTGCACCAACACTTCCATTGAGGTTAAATGTAGGTTGATTTCTCATGATTTCATTTAGACATTTGCTTTTAGTCCTTGTGTCATCTGCTTAATCTAGGGAGGAGGTCCTCAAATTTTTCTAGGTGGTCTGGTAAGGCACAGATTGTTGGTGCCTTCCTTGGATTACTGATTTCAGAAGTCTGAGGCAGGATGGGGCCCAAGAATTTGCATTTCTAACAAGTTCCAAGTGATTCTTATGCTGCTGGTTTGGGACGCACACGTTAAGAACCACCCTGGTAAGCCATATCCATCACTATGCTTGTCAAATTCATTATCCCAGCATGAATGCCATTTTGTCCCATGCTTGGAAGTTTCCTGAGAGGGTAGAAAGCAGAGGTGCAGTTGGTGCCCATTGGGCACAGCTGAAAAGCCACAACTGGAAACCCAGTCCAGGGCCCTCTCTCTGTCCTTTGTCAAATACAACCAATCTACTGGACACTGCTGTTTAGATACACACACACACACACACACACACACACACACACACACACACACGCCCCCTGCCACACATACAAAGCCAAAATAAATAAGCAGTTCAAATCACCGCAATTTCTTCCTGCCTCCTCAAATGTCCCTGTATCGTCTTTGTTGGCTGCATCCACAGTAGACGTCAAAGGTGCCCTTCATGTGGAGCAGACTTGCCAGTTTAGACAGAAACTGGAGTTGCTGGCTCATATCATCGCTAGTGGCATTGTCAGACTGAAGGCAGAGGCGCCAAAACAACTCTATTGTTAG